CCTGAGCTGAGCTCAATTAACAGGAACAGCCGGGCGCTGAGGTCACGATTAGCAACCGAGTGTGCTCAGCGAGCACGCAGGCCTGCAAACGTTAAGCCCATTCAACCACGTGGGTAACACACACACAGCGTTATTACACGTTGGAAGGAAGACACTGGGAACTGCCCGTGACATTATTAGTTAAACAACAGCAATGTCTAGTGACCTCCCCAGGCCCTCCTGTGTAAGGGGATGATGTCAGCTTAAAAAGATTTTATAACCAGTAAGGCAAAGGCAGGTGAAAAGCACGAATTATTTCTCCCACTTTGTAGAATTTTTTTTTTCTTCTCACCATCTTGTCTTCTTAACTGTTCCGTAAGAACTGGCTTCCTACTCCAGTCTGCAATCTGAAGTGCTCATCACCCTCTCCAAGGCAGCAGGCAACAATATTTCTGCAAAGTTCATATTCCAGTAGCTACGTAACCTGGTGCTTGCTCATTCTTGAATGGTGTGCACTGCTGTGCTATTTATCCTTACTTGAAATAGAATATCGTGCCATAAGCACATGCATTATTTCATTCTGTCCTTTCACTCTTTATTCTGAAATGTCCACATCAAGCCACATGAATCTTTTGGAGTATGATAAATCAGGATGCCCTGAACTAGTGAAACCAGTTTCATAGTGATGATTTATCATTTTTATACTAATTATGTATTACTGCTTTCATGTGGCTTTCAAGTGAAACCATGGTTGACTAGGAATATTAAGAGATTATACCAAAAATGGTTACATTTCTGGTGAATTTCCCTGAAAAAAAAACCCTGAATTTTCCTTAAATTCTTATTTCAGGAGGGAAAATTAAACATAGAAGAAGGCTTTTTTTGTGGGGAAGTGGGGGCAGAGATCATCTCCAGAGATCATAAGCATTATTTCCCTTTCCTATTATGAAGCAGTAAGGGCTCAGCGGTATTAAGAGTCTTCAAAACTCAGTTCATTTGTTCATATGCCTAAGTGCAGATGTGAAGATCAAATGCATACATGCTTGACTACATGGTGGACATGCACTGTCATGGAAAGACAACCCAGTATCTTTATGCACAGGATCTTGGTCCTCCTGAAACACATCTCGGTGCTTTCTTGAAATCTTCATTCATCTTAGGGAGCAGTCAACTTGCAGGTTATTTCCCGGGGCCCCTTTCTGTCATCTTATCATTGGCCACACCAGAGTGCACATACATCAGAGTGTGTTGGTCACATTTTGTTATGGGCAGCCCTGCTCTTGCATTTCAGATTAAGATTGCTGGAAAAATGGTGGAGGTCAGGTCCAGGTCAGACCCATGAGGTACATAGGTGCTGAACTTCCACTGAAATGTGTGGAAGTGAGAGTTTTAAAACCGTGGTGGAAGTGGTCTCTATGACCCACTGACGTTAGGAAGGACAGTGCTGGGAAAGCAGCAGCAACTTTGCAACAGGGATGGGTGACCTCTTGAATGAAATGAGCTTCAAGGTGGAAAACACACATTTTTTGGCATGTCCCAGAATAAAAATATTATATTTTTTAGAGACTTCTTCACTAAAGGTCACCTTTAGCTATGGTTATGGTATTTCTTCCTATATCTTCTGTGAAAGAGCCCCTTGGTTTGCCCTGGTAAATGGAAGCAATTTCACGGTTACAGCATGGCTTGAGGCAGCAGAATTTGGCCCTAATACTACAGCTAAGCAAACTGTTAAAATAGGAACTGAACCAAATGTCCAGATCTCCTCCCCAAACTCAGGCTAAACCTGTTTTGAGGTTCAGGAATGTTTGGTTAACTTTAAATAAAACAATGTTGTGTTTCTACACATCCTGCTTTCAGCTAAGCCTCCAAGCAGAAACACAAAAATATGGCAGGAAAGTCTGTTTGCACTATTTCTGGCCCAGGTAAAACCAGGAAGAACTGGAAATCTCACAAAAACAGCTTTGTCTCACCCAGTATTCAACTCTGAGGTTCTGTCACTGTTACCTAGTCACATTTGGTGACAATTTATAACTAATTTTCCACCTAGATAATTGTGATAAAGAAATTCCCCAGACCATAAGACATACAAAAGACACCTTTTTACTTCACCATGACAGCACAGTTTATGCCTATTATAAAGTCTTTGTATGCTCATACTTCTTAAGACATTGGTATAACAGCATCAAGCCAAAATGTCTTTTGCAGTACACAATAACGATGCATGGCAAATGCTAACAAACTAAGCATATGCTTTTTCTGCTTCATATCTAGTTCATGGCTAATTTAAGCAATGAGCAAAATACCAAAAAGTCTGTTGTTTGCCTTTTCTTTGACAACTGTCTTTATTGAATTTGCAGAGCAAAGACGACAGCATTGTTTTCAAGGTACATATTTGCCATACAAAATTGTCCTGGATGTCACTGCAACATTTTTAAAGCACTTCTGTGTTACAGGCTCTTGCTAGTTCATATTAACAGGAACATTTAATTTTATTGCTAGAAATGGTATCATGGTCAGCAAAACTTAATACATGCACTGTGATTATACAGCTATCTGCTCTACCACAACAAAGTCACCCCAAGCGATATGGTACCCATGTTTGCTAGCCAGATGTGTTATATTTTCCAGACTCCAACAAGAAACAGACATTAAGAAATGCATGTTAATCATTGCCATAATGAAAACAATATGCAGTTAGCTTTTAGGTTGTCACAAAAGTACTGAAGGCGAGTACAGACTTAATGTATTCTACATTCGAGGAAACCCGATCTGTTTTTTCGCTAGCCCATTTCAATGAAATGGTCATGTCTAATAGAATATTTTGAATGAATCACTGAAATTTCAGTGGGTATGTGTGTATGCTTACTAAGCACAAGGCTAACTAAAACACCATTCTGACTACAACCATGAAAGGAAAATACCCTCTGTACCACTTGCTTAAGTACAACAAGCTAAGAACATGCAGACCATGCAAAGTCTGCCCAGCAACACCATCTTCCATAGTCCGTGCGAGCCTTTGGTTTGTTATATATGCTACTATCGGACAGTATTTTTGTAAGACTTCCTATCACTGGCAAAATCAGAAGCTGTCCTAGAAAACAGATCTATCCACGGGGAAGAGCCCAACATCCACCAGGGAAGCTACAGAACTTGACAGCTCTACCCAAAGACCCATCGAACTCCCCACATTTCACTGATTTCAGCTAGGCAATTCCAGAGAAAACTACTCCCAGCAGGAATAGAAGGATGAGAATCCCTAAGCAAATAATAAATTAAGTGCACGCATATACCTACAGAAAAAGCCAATTGATCTGATTTGGTAAAAGTGTAAAACATGTGATCATTTGACACTCTCAAGGACCTGAAGATTTGGATTTTCTAAAGCAAAGATGTGCACTTCCTGCAATTAAAATGTGTATATAGATATAAAATATTTGCTTGGTTCAAGGAACATTCATTCTGTCCACCAGAAAAGAAAGAGGTGGAGAAAATAAGGTCTGAAATGCTGACTGAACAGCAAACATAGCATCAATAAAGTGAAGGCAACAGAAATCATGATTGTCCTCTTTGCTTAGATTGCAGTGCCTTACAGCCATATAGAAGGCATCCAAAGCACCCTTTCTTCCCCCACTTTTCTCCTCCCACCTCAGCCCTGCCCCTCACATTTGTCTTTCACTCCACTTACACTGCAAGGAACTGCTTGAGGGCTGATATAGCCTTTATTAATGAGGTAATAGGAACTGGTGATTTTCATTTCGACCTGGGATTATAAAAGTGTTTCATACTCTTCAAGAAAGGAAAGCCCTCTGCAAACAGGTGCAAATTATTAAAGAAACTTAGAGTGCAGTGCTTCAGAATGTCTTTGCATAGGTTAAACAAAGTATTGCCTTGGTATGTGAGTGCTAAAGTAAAACAAAATCAAAACATGTCTCATCAACTCATTTGGAATGCTTTCCTGAAGATGTAATAAATACAAGAAAGCTTTGGCTTAATTTATTGAGATATCTTCTTCCCTCCTTTCCTTCCTTTCACAACGCTATCCTCAGGAATAAAAAAAAAAGTATTGTATTTTTGCATGTCAACTAGTGTTGTATAAACACAGTTACTCCCATTTCTTAGCAGAAGAAAAAAATCAACCAAGGCATTGGATTTTCAACTTTTGGAAGAGCATTAAGCAAAAGCAAAAACAAACAAGCAAAAACCAACACATGCAAGAAAGAATTTCCATACTTTTGATGTAATTCTTTAAAATGGGCTGTTTTGTGATTGGGGATTAGGTCTTACCCAGGACATAATTCCCTTCTCCTTATCTGTCCAGAAGTAATGACAACAGCACAATCTAGCTTTTTCTTCATCATATTACCACCATAACAGAGTGTTTGTATTTTGTATTCCTGAAAAAATAAATAATGAAATCTTTACAAAAAGAAAATCACCCATAGCAAATACAAATAGTATCTATAAATACTACCTTCACAGTAACAATGTAATACTTAAAGTGCATCACTGAACAAACTAACATGGTGAAAAAGACCTTCTGTTACATATCTCACTCAGTTAAATGTTTATGTTCTCCTTGAAGGGAAAACTTACTATTCCCAAAAGCACAACAATCAGCTTGAAAAATCAGGTTAGACATCAGCAGTTGAGTATTAATAATTATCCTCCCAGCTATTATTTATTTGCCAGGGCAGCCAGGGTCCATAATCAGCATTCGTCTTTCATCTTTTTCAGCAGGGCCGTCTGGCAGGTGCTGGGCGGTGTGAACACTGATGGGTCGGCAATGCCCAGCTGCAGGTCAAAAAAGCGAGTGGAGGTTGTAACGCTGTAGTTCCTCAGATAGGTCTCTTGCACTGGGTAACAGTCTTTGACTGTGTAGACACCGACCCAGGATTCCACTGTAATAAAGCAGAAATTTGGCTATTTAGATCCCGAGTATGACTGTGTCACAACAGTGTCAAGGGAGTGACCTTCCAATGGCCCCTCCCCAGGCAAAGCCTACAGGTTGTGACTTCCCATATTTCTATACAGAGTCATATTTTTCCGAAAGCCTTAGTGGAGAACTGAAAACAAAAACAATCTACTAGAAGATCCTAGGAAAAAAAAAAAAAAGGAAAATCCTATATCACTCACAACAAAGGAGGTTGACTTTTGTTATTTTAAGGGCTAATTAGCTTCACATGTCTATGTAGTCTGCTTACCAGGACAGCATCCTGTTAGAGGATGGACGTCAACATGAAGAAAGACCACAAAAGTAGCATCATGGACACCACGATGATGTTAAACCTTGGTGTCACCTTGGTGTCATGCGTGTTGAGTCATGGTACCACCAAGGCATCAGTATGTCACGTTTCAGAGGTACTCGTTTTGAAGGAACAGCACTTATGGTTAGTCCCAAATTTAATTACACTCCAAACAAATCTGATTTTTCCCACCTTTTGTGCCAGCATTCATCCACTTCACCACTTTAGCAGTAAACCAAGGTAATGCTCAGGGAGTTGTTTTCAGACAAACACAAATTTTCGTGCATTCAGTTTAGGTAGCATGTGGACATTTTATCTTACTCTCTGCTCTTGACAAGCCAAAAGGTGTGGTTGCTGAAAATCTTTGCTCCATTTGACGTTGTTGGGCCTCAGCAGTCTTGACATTTTAAGGCACTCAATCTCCCCAGCTAATGCAGGGCATCTGATTCTTCCCTGTGCTCAGTTCCGCACTCACCTACTGGATAAACTGATGTCCTGCTGTGGTGGGGGCTCCTTCTGCACCACAGCTCCCCACTGCAGTCATCCCTAGCATTTTACCCTCACAGCCCTTTCAGTCATCTGAGAGCTTAACTACCACTCTTACGCTGATGATACTTACCAAATCCTTAATTCAAATAAACATGACGTTTCACGTCATATTTCTTCCAGCTTACTGTCTCAAACAGTGTTTTTTTTTGGAAAAGGAAAAACATTCCCAAATACAACTCTACTGTCTCTATGTCTTCTTAACTGTTTCCTCCTGTTTGCTGCCATCTATATGTATTACCACTACCCTGTCCATTTTTGAAATTCCATTCCCCTTATATATTTCTACTGGTCCATTATTTATTCTAAGACTTCACTCAAAGCCGAACTCCTCTGTGTACGTGATATAGCACTCCTGCCCCTTCATCTCCAGTTTAACTCTGCAACATACTTAAGGGCTTTTCTCTCTCACTCTCTTCTCTCTCATCCTTCGCCATCACCTCACTGTTATATTTCTGCAGCCAGTACCATCGAGGTGATTTTCCTTGCCCACCCTTCACTTTTAAAACCTCATTTTAATCTCTTTTATTTCTCCCACATATCTTTTCAGTGATCCTTCTTTATCCCATTCCTTGCATATCACTTCATCTAATTGCTTCATCTATTTCAGACCTCCTGATAGCAGAAACTCTCATTAGGTTAGAATACAAAACTACCTGTTATTATCACAGATCAGATCCTTTCCATGATTCCTCTTTGAAATTTTCCCAGTTCCTATGAGGCTTATTTTATCTCACCCAAACAGCAGATATGCTTATTTTTTTTGTCATTTCAGTAGTGTGTAATCTGCACTACCATAATCACATTATTGGAAGCGGGTAAGTTGTGTCATGAAATGCCCATAGAGTATTTATAAAAGACTTGCAAATTGAGCAATATTTAAAAATATCTCTTCTGTATTCTGTATTCTGTATTTGTATAGGCAAAATACAACGATACCAAGGTATTCTGTATCTCCACTGAAACCTTCATAATATTAACAGAATTATAATTTCTAGAATCCAAATGAAGAATACTAGCTGAAGGATGAATGGGTAGACAAGTTTCAGATATTATTTTTCAGAATGATCATGCAAAAGAAGTACTGGAAATACCAAATATTACTGGATAAAAATCACACATCATTAACCGAAGGTATCTGGATATTAAGTTCCATAAAAGTTTCAAAAATACTGGATCTGAAAAACAAGATTCTTGGAGTGAGGGATAATTTGTCTCTTGTAGAATACCAGAGGATACATCGACCTAGTTACAGAGCTGTAATGACCGTATCCTTCATTTTCTTTCTACTTTTATTCAAACAAGAAATATTTTTTCCCTTTGCTAAATCCTCAGGTTCATAACCTACCATATATTAGGTGGCTATAACCCTAAGTATTGCATTAACTTAATAATATCATAAATTTAATTGGATTTTAAGAATTATTTTTATAGCTGTCTGGGTCATCACTAAACCATAGAGGAAACTGAAGCCAACATTCTAATAAATGCTATGCATTCAAAACCTAATATACTGCACCTTGGAATACTGGGCCTACTTTCTTTTACGAGGCAGGTGTCCAGCTGCCAAATGCAGAACCAAGCTCTGGAAGGGATGTTTCTCACTAGCATTGTGGATAACAAAATGTAGGTGCATATTGAAGATGCTGACTGCTGCAAAACAGCTTATTGGATGTATTTCATGACAATATTTGATAACAAGGTACAGACAAACACTGACTTCTTCTTTGTTTCTCTACTGCCTTTTAACAGAAATCTGATACATTCTAGTTGTGTTCCTGTGCTGAGTGTGTCACTACTTATATTACTGATTTTTCTCTAGATAAGTTGTGGATTCAGTCTGCTGCATTCAGATGCAGATTGATGGAGTTCTATGCCAAAAATTGTATGATACAAGCTAGAATACAGATAAGTCCCTTGGATACATGAGAACCTGCTGAGATGAGACACATTTTCTTAATAAAATGCATTGATAATAAAATGATATGCTGTATATGGGGGATATTTACTTTGTCTTCCAGCAAACTTTATGCAAGTATGTGAGTCTGGGGTGAAATATGAACAATCCTATTTGTCCCCAGGTAGCAGAGACAATGACTGCTATTACAAAATAAAAGTATGCACATACATTTCCTGGCTGGTTTTCTGTCAGACCATTCCTGTACCATAATTTGATCTCCAGGTCCGCCGACGTAGTACTGATCTTCATAAGTTGAATTGGCAGGGATATCATATGGATCCCATGGCTCAGTCAGAGGAATCTTTGAACAAAGCTTTGTAACTTGTTCAATCTGAAACATCACTGCATCTTTATAGAGCAATATATACTCAAAGAATCTGAAACATGAAAAAACAAGTAGTTATTATTCATAGTCTTTTCTACCAAAAAAAAAATAGAGAGAAAGAGAGGAAGAGAGGAAGAGAGGAAGGAAGGAAGGAAGAGAGGAAGGAGGGAAGAGAGGAAGGAAGGAAGAGAGGAAGGAAGGAAGAGAGGAAGGAAGGAAGAGAGGAAGGAAGGAAGAGAGGAAGGAAGGAAGAGAGGAAGGAAGGAAGAGAGGAAGGAAGGAAGAGAGGAAGGAAGGAAGAGAGGAAGGAAGGAAGAGAGGAAGGAAGGAAGAGAGGAAGGAAGGAAGAGAGGAAGGAAGGAAGAGAGGAAGGAAGGAAGAGAGGAAGGAAGGAAGAGAGGAAGGAAGGAAGAGAGGAAGGAAGGAAGAGAGGAAGGAAGGAAG